GGGCGGGGCGGGGCGGGGCCTGTCTCAACGTAACGCCCTTGGGTGTTACTCGGGGGTTACGCGCAGCAGGTCCTTCCGTCGCTCTGTCTCGCTCGCACTCATGGAGCGTGCCGTAAGGGTGCGAGGGAGACATAGAGCATTCTGCGTGCGTTCAAACTGCAGCGCGAATGGCACAAGCCTGGCAGTGTAGGAGTCCCGTTCCGTGGGCCGCGCGCCAGGAAAATAGAATTGCAGTGGAGTAAGACGCCCCCGCCCGGCCCGCCCGGCAGGACGTCCTCGCGGCGTCCTCGCTGCCCCACTGGAAGTCGCTTCTCGATCCGCCTAGCGTTACCCGGTCCGGCCCTGCCGGCCCTTTGGCGCAGTCTATTCGCAGGGCGTCCCCCCCCCCGCCCGCCACTGCCCGCCGTGGCTGACGTGCGGCGCGGGGGCGGCGGGCCGGTCGGTGATTGATACTGCCCGCGTGGGAGGGGAAAACAGGGAAAACCCTGCCTGCTAAGTAGTGCTGCTGCCCGCGTGGCCAAAAAGTTTCAAAAAGAGACTCGGTCCTGCCGGGATTCGAACCCGCGGCGATGGCGCTGCGGAGTGCGGAGCTCGGAGGTTCGGTTTGGACCGTCCTAATGGCTTCGGTGGGCCCCGCGAGTCGGGTCGTGTTGTTGTGGCCTTGCCAGGCCTTGCGGCTCGTCGACTCGTCTGCGGCTGCAGTTGGCGGGGCTGCACACTGATAGATCTGTCTCTCTCGCACCTATAGGGGACGCGCCATGAGTGCGAGAGAGACAGAGCGACGAGACGACTCTCGGAATCAGTCTGCTGGCGGGCCGTCTCGGCACCGCCATGGCACCGCCTGGGCAAAGGCAGCGCGCTGCAAGTGTGCAGCCCGGGCGACATACAGTCTGCGAGTACTGTGCTGCTGCGCCAGATAAGCATTGTCCAAGACGCTCCTTACAACACGTCTGTGTATGTGCGCGCGCACACACACGCGCGCCAGTGTGTGTGAAAGAGGCAGCAGTCTGTGTGTGTATTGGTGTGTTTTCTTCCGTATGGCGGCCGATGTGTTATCTCCGTGGCGATTTTTACTGTGTACCCGAGTACGCAGTGCGGCGGTCAAAATTCTAGACGCGTTTTGAGCTCCAGAGTCGCTAAACAGGACTCGAATCAAACGTGTGACCCCACCAATGGATTCCTCGTTCGGAGAGCAATCCATCGGTAAGGTCACACGTTCGGTTCGAGTCCTGTTCAGCGTCTCTGGAGCTCAAAAAGGGTCTTAGTATTTTGGCCACCTCCGTCTGCTGAGGCCTAACAGCGCCGATGACGATGACCGGTCTTCTGACCCACTGCGTACTTCGGTCTGCTTTGGCCTCCTCCGCCGGGCTTCGCGTCTTCTTGGCCCACTTACAACAAACATGTGTCCCACCTCGGTCATACTTTTTAAACTGTATACGGAGCCTTTCCTAGAGCCCGCCTACGCAGACGGTAAGCCACGCGTCTGGTCCAGGGCAGACCCCCCCCCCTTTCCCCCTTCCCAACTACGTCTCACTAAACCGCGATAAGTTAAGCATCGCCTTGGGTGCTATCGTCATGCTATCGTACTGTATCGGGCTGTAGGCTGTAAAGTCTAAGTTAGTTTAATGCGTAGTTAGCCCGGCCGCCATGCGCTCACCGAGCCCAGCCCAGCCTGGCCCAGCCCATGCACTTGCAGTGCCCTGGGGGAAAGGAAAGGGGGGGAGCATGCAACACATACCCTATCAAATCAAACCAGAGTATGCTGCGGCTAAACTTTCGGCCGTGTAACAGTTTATCCGTTGCTGTTTTGCTGATTAAAATCTAATGAGTCGGTTTATAATTCATAATTCAAGAAGATGGATAAGCAAGCTCGAACGCCTGTCTAGCGGAGTAATCTTCATACGCGGCCCGGGTTCGAACCGCCGAAAAACTGAGAGTTCTAAATGTAGGACTTTAGGACATCAAAGCGTTTTATGTAGGACTTTAAGACACTGAGAGGTCCAAATCGAGGACGCTAGAACTATTGAGGGAGTTCCATTACTTTTTCGCACACCTTCTTGGATATTTTAATCATATTTAGGAGCGGTGCAAATGTTACATTTTTCATAATTCATTTTAATAGTAAATTTTGTATGTTCCTCTAATTTTGGAGCAGATTCTTTTCTGATTTGGCTTCCACCGCCCCGGGCCCCGGTCAGTGCAGCACCCTGACCCAGGCTAACCCAGGCCGAGGAGCAGGGCGGTCGCAGCAGTAGTAACAGCAGCGGTCCGATTCGGAGGACTCTGTCTCTCTCGCACCCATGGGGCGTTCCGCAGCACCGCAAGGGTGCGAGAGAGACGGAGCGACGAAAGCGGTCCTTAGCGTGCAGCAGCAGCGGCGGAACACTTCCCGGCCGAGCCGCTCGACCGCGTGACCGCGGTGTGACCGCGCCGACATTGGCTGCCGTGCAGCAGGCTGAGGGTCGTTCTCGTCGCTCTGTCTCTCTCGCACTCATGGGGCACCCCGTATGGGTGCGAGAGAGACAGAGCGACGAAAACGACTCTCGGAATGTGCCGCCCCGGGCGTGCCAGTGGCGTGGCGCGAGCGTGTTTGGACCAGACGGCACGCACACGCACGGCGTGGCACCGCGCTCCGCACGCACGATCAAAGCTTCGTTGTGGCGGCAGCGGCGCGCCAAAGGAAGGATATTGTTCTCGCTGAAAAAAATAAATAAAAAATATCGGCGAGTCAGTGCAGTCTGAGACACAGTCGGAGACGCCCGCCCACCGCAAGCTTGCGTCATCACTGTGGACGGAGGGTCTGAAAAACGTCTAACAGTTTTGAACGTGTCCTTTGAAATGTTTAAAAATTTCCTGTTTCGCCCTTCCCGCGACTCCTCGATTTTTTTCGCGTGTGTCGTCCTCAAGTTAGGAAGCCACGAGCTCACGAAATCGTGGTGAGTCACTCGGCTGATTAGCTTCTGTCCTTGTGTCACGAAAAAGCCAGCGCGAACTTTGAATTTCGGCACTTGGGGGACCAAATTTGGTGCCTGCAGAGTGCAGACTGACGAGACGTTCCGTCGCTCTGTCTGTGCCTCTCTCGTGAGGCTCGAAGGAAACAGCCGCCTGAAAAGAAGTCTCCACTTAAGGGGTATTCGAACCCACGACCGCGCGCAAGGGGTCCAGACCATCCCCCGCTCGCCCCGCACCACAGTGGGCCAGAAGACCGGTGGAGGCGGCAAAACTCCAGACGCGTTTTGAGCTCCAGAGTCGCTAGATGGGCGAACCGAACGTGTGGCCCCACCAATGGATTGCTCTCCGAACGAGGAATCCATTGGTGGGGTCACACGTTCGGTTCGAGTCCTTTCTAGCGACTCTGGAGCTCAAAACGCGTCTAAAGTTTTGGCCGCCTGCACCGGTCTTCTGGCCCACTGTGCGCACGCTCCGCTTGCTCCAAATGGCGAAGGAACGACCCTTGATGATGTTACTTGTCGACGGCACGGCCCTCCTGGCCTGCCTCCGCCCACGCAGGCCCGCCAACATTAATCACACACAAAAGTAGTGCACAAATTTCGCCCCATCACCCGGAGGTCCAGACGATGACGTCAGGGCCGGCCGGTCTCCCCGGAGGCGGGGCGGCGGGGCGAGCGGGGCACCAGAGAGGACTCTGCGGGGCACTTCGCCATTGGTCAACACACACACACACACACACACACACACACACACACACACACACACACACACACACACCACACACACACACACACACGGGATTCAAGCTCTGGTCGGTCGTCTGAGAAGGGCTTGGGGCTGAAATCGTGCCCGAAAATCTGTATCAATTTTGAATTGTTTTTGGAAATAATTTTCTTTTGGTTCTAGGCGAAGCCCACACACGTGCATCCGATGCAGTGCTAGCGACGCTAGCGTGGCGACGTTAGTGTTGTTTGTAGGCGGTGCAGCGGCGGGGCAGCCGTGCCCTGTTTCGCGACCGCTTCGCGGAGGTCCCCTGAGTCACCGTGTGGCGCACGGCGCGGCGCGGCACGGCACGGCACGGCGTGTGCGCCCAGTGTGGCAGTGCACCGGATCGCCCCGCACGCCACTGTAGCGCCGTGCGCCAGCGGCTGCAGCGGCCCCGCTTGGCTGCAGACTGATGCCGAGAGTCGTCTTCGTCGCTCTGTCTCTCTCGCACTCATGGGGCGTCCCGTGCAGGTGCGAGAGAGGCAGAGCGACGAAAACGACTCTCGGCATGAGTGTGAAGGGAAGGTTCCGGCCGCCAGAGTGCGCGCAAATGGCGGATAGGGACACGAGGGACACGGAGGGGGTGGCGGAGGAAGAGAAAAAGGCAACATTCCTGTCAGATTGCCCGGCCGGGAATCCGGACAATGCGGGGATAATCATGGAGTGCGAGTGTGTACACAAAGTACTTGTTGGCGGTAATTGACATTTTAAGACGCGCTGATGATGGTGAGGCAGCGCCTCGGCGCGGTCAATGGGCGCGCGGCGTTATTCAAAAGCCGCGGTCCTGGGTTCGAACACCAGCCGAAGGCGCGGTTTTTTCCTCGCGCGAACTCAAGTGATTTGGCGCGCGCGGAGGCAGTGCGCGCGGACCGGGCTTTCGATTCCACTTGGAGGCTGTCTCTCTCGCACTCGGGAGGCGTCCCGGGAGGGTGCGAGAGAGACAGCGACGAAAACAGGGTTCGGCATCGGCCTGCGGATAGCGTCCGCGTGCACTAGTTGCAGTCCAGGTTGTTACCTGACCAAGGTGCCCGCCCTGCCCCGCCCCGCCCCGCACAAGTCAAAGGCGATGAGCAGCGGCCGGCCCAGCGGCACGCCAGACGGGCGGGGCGGGGCGCGGCGGGGCGCGGCGGGGGCCCGCGCGGCGCGGCGACAGGGAGGGGGGGCGCGGGGGCACGGCGGGGTGAGGTCCGGGTCCCGGGTCCGCCTGGCGCCAGCAAGCAGGCCGTGCCGTGCCTCAGTGCCTCAGTCTCACCCTCGGCTCTGGCCTGTTGCCTTAGCTAGTCCCGTCGGGGCCGCCGCCGTGCCGCCGTCTCTCCGCCGCCGCGCAGCCACGCAGTGCCGCACGCGCTCCGAGCTCGTCAAGGCCGTCGCCGTGGACGCCGCCGTCGTGAACTCCGCCGCTGTGGACTGCCTCGCCGTGGACTCCACCGCAGCACACCCTGCGTCCAGGAGGCCCACGAGGGCATGAGGGCCGATGAGAGCCGCAGTAGTGAAGTCCGTGCACTGAACTCTCCGGGGGCCTTGCCTGCCTCGCCGCGGGCCCCTGACGAGGCCACGGCCTGCCACGGCCCCTGGCCAGGCCTTGCGGCCGGCTCTTCCCCGTCAACGACATGACCCCCTGGACGCTCGCCACCCTCGCCGTCGTCGCCGCCCTCCTCTGCACCACCCATGCCGCGGAGACCATCACAGGTGAGTCCACGACGCCGGGTGACAGCGCTCATTCATTGCGCGCGCCGTCCCGGGTTCGAATCCCAGCCAAGCCAGTGCTGACACCTCGCGCTCCTGTTCCAAAGTCATCGCAATGCCCGCAAATCAGGCCTAAAAGTCGCCGTCAGCGAGTTCGATTTGGCGGGATTTCGCGGCGGTCTCGCGGCAGTGCCTCGACGGCTTTCTGTTCCACGCACGTCGCACGTCACGGCCCAGGGCTGGGGCGGGGTGTCTCAGGCAACGTCTCCCGGAAGTGTCATTAAGATGCCGGCATATTTGACTATACGTCAACAAGGCGGCCTCCATACACCGCAAAACAAACACGTAAAGTGGACGTGCGCCAGCTCCAACCCGTTTCAGGGAGTTTTTCAATTTCGGTTCATTTGTGAAAGGGGGTGCACAGTGGGCCAGAAGACCGGTGGAGGCGGTCAAAATCCCGGACGCGTTTTGAGCTCCAGAGTCGCTAAATGGGACTCCAACCGTGTGACACCACCAACGGATTGTTCTCCGAACGGGGAATCCATTGGTTGGGTCACACGTTCGGTTCGGGTCCTGTTTAGCCACTCTGGAGCTCAAAACTCGTCTAGAGTTTTGACCGCCTCCACCGGCCTTCTGGCCCACTGTGGGGCGGGAGTTTTCTCCGTTTTCTCACAGCGCTGGGCCCCGCCATGGCCGCGCGGCCGAAGGGACCGGGTGCAGCTATTTCCCCGCTCTCTTATCGTTGATGACTCAGTGCTTACGGGTAAAAACAACTCCTCCAATGTTTGGTCTTTTCTTAGTACGGCTACGCGGGGAAAAATTCAAATGGGCCAACAACTCTGAAATGGCGCAGGCGAGATCTGGACCGCGCTCGCCCGCTACTAATCTGCTTCTCGAATCGGCCCAAAGCCGAAACCACTTTTCGGCGTGGGCGCGCGTGTGACGTTTGGTTGCGTTAGGTTGGCGGAAGTGCCGCGGCAAAGCCACGCAAAGCCGGCAGGCAAAGCGAGTCAAAGCGAGTCCAAAGCGAGGCAAAGCGACCGGCCTTGACCCACCGAAACGCCGATCCCGAATCCCGCTTTTCCCGTTTTGGCGCCAACATTTAAATCTATTCGAACGGCCAGCGCGTCGCCGCCAACCCGAGCCGGCGTCGCTCGTGCGACTGCAGCGCGGCCAGACTGATTCCGAGAGTCGTTTTCGTCGCTCTGTCTCTCTCGCACTCCTGCGGCGCCCCGTAGAGGTGCGAGAGAGGCAGAGCGACAAAAAGTCCACAGGCTGATTCCGGGCCAAGGGGAAATAACTCCAGCCAAATTTGTACACCGAAATTCATCAAACTTGTAAAATTCACTAAAATTCATGAAAATTCATCATAACTCGATTGAAATTCATTGAAATTCATCGAATTTTGACCGAAACTCGACTGAAATTCCTCGTAATTCGACTAAAATTCATTGGATTTGTACACCGAAATTCATAGTGGTTTCCCCTTGTTCCGGGCAGTGTTTTCGTCGCGCTTCCTCTCTCGCACACTCTGACATGAGAGAAGTGCGAGAGAGACGGAAGCACGGTTCGGCACAAGCCTACAGTGCAGCGGCGTCGTTGAAATCCCTTCCTCCTCGGCAATTGGCTATTGATTCGGAATTATCGAATGTCGAGCGGGAACATTCAAAGACTCAATTCTACGCGACCACCTTGCCGTGCTGGTGCTGTGCTTTTGCAATCGCACACGTCAAAAAACAAAACCAGCCTTTTTAAAAAAACATTGCGCAATCGTCCAAATCTCCGGAGAAACTTTTTCACGCGTGTTGGTGCGATGAACGCAAAAGTGCCTTACAGCCGCTTCGTTTTGTTTTCCAACCGTTTTCGAGTGACTCGCCGATACAAACGCATCCGACGCAGAAAGTCGTAAGTGGCGGTGTGCCGCGCGCCAGTTACGCGTTTTATTTTGTGGGCACGCCGTCGTCGAGGCGCGGCCGTCCCACAGTGGGCCAGAAGACCGGCGGAGGCGGCCAAACCTCTAGACGCGTTTTGAGCTCCAGAGTCGCTAAATGGGACTCGAATCGAACGTGTGACCCCACCAATGGATTGCTCTCCGAACAAGGAATCCATTGGTGGGGTCACATGTTCGGTTCGAGTCCCATTTAGCGACTCTCGAGCTCAAAACGCGCCAAGAGTTTTGGCCGCCTCCACCGGTCTTCTGGCCCACTGTGCGCCCGGGCCGCCTCGCCTGCCTCGCCGGCCGGCCGAGCCAAGTTTACACACTTGCCAAATGGGCGAATGAAGCAGAAAGGCATCCCATTGAGAATGAGTCCGCCCTGGAAGGACGGCTGGAAGGCCTGGAGGGCCTGGAGGGGCTGGACGCGACGCAGCCGTCGGACGGACGGGATCTCCAGTCCAGCGACTCCAGCACACTGATTCCGAGCGTCGTTTTAGTCGCTCTGAGAAGCTCCAGACAAAAAAAACCACTTGGTCGGCGACATCCTAGGAGCGGGCGCTTGTTGTGTTTTTTCGGTTCCTTCTATGTATACGAACTGCCGAAAAGACACTTGGACGAAATCCGACACCCCCTGTGGCTTTGGTACGGGTCTAAACACCCCAAAAACAGCTGTTTTCGAGGGTTTGGGACTAGATGGGTTCTCGCAAACCGAGATCCAAAAAAGTACCCAAATGGGTCTCAGATACTCAAAAAAATGCGCTCTTTCGAATGCCGTGTCGAACGAGGCTCTACGACGTCGGGCTTGGATGCTACGGGCTCTCAAAGTTGCTCAATTTCACTATTTTTACTGAAGATTTGAGCATATCAGGGCCGTTTGAAGTAGACCATCGGCGATTTCGCTCCTCTTTGTCTTGAATGGTGCCTACCCATAGGTAAACACCCCCACAAAATTTCAGCCATGTCAGGCAATTATTAGAGGAACTGTGAACAATTTAAGTTTTGGGTCATTTTACCACTGGGCTTAGGTGTTTTTGGGTCCAGAAAAAATATTTTTTTTAGCTATCTACTTTTGATCAGCACCTCTTGAAACGCCTTTTTAACATGGTGCCTCAAAACTTTTTTCGAGGACAAACTTGCCTTTTTCTCCAAGTTATGTTCTAATTACAGCTAGAAAAAGACAAGTTTGTCCTCGAAAAAAAGTTTTGAGGCACCATGTTAAAAAGGCGTTTCAAGAGGTGCTGATCAAAAGTAGATAGCTAAAAAAATTATTTTTTCTGGACCCAAAAACACCTAAGCCCAGTGGTAAAATGACCCAAAACTTAAATTGTTCACAGTTCCTCTAATAATTGCCTGACATGGCTGAAATTTTGTGGGGGTGTTTACCTATGGGTAGGCACCATTCAAGACAAAGAGGAGCGAAATCGCCGATGGTCTACTTCAAACGGCCCTGATATGCTCAAATCTTCAGTAAAAATAGTGAAATTGAGCAACTTTGAGAGCCCGTAGCATCCAAGCCCGACGTCGTAAGCCTCGTTCGACACGGCATTCGAAAGAGCGCATTTTTTGAGTATCTGAGACCCATTTGGGTACTTTTTTGGATCTCGGTTTGCGAGAACCCATCTAGTCCCAAACCCTCGAAAACAGCTGTTTTTGGGGTGTTTAGACCCGTACCAAAGCCACAGGGTGTCGGATTTCGTCCAAGTGTCTTTTCGGCAGTTCGTATACATGGAAGGAACCGATAAAACACCACAAGCGCCCGCTCCTAGGATGTCGCCGACCAAGTGGTTTTTTTTGTGTGGAGCTTCTCTCTGTCTCTGTCGCACTCATGGGGCGTCCCGTGAAGGTTCGAGAGAGACAGAGCGACGAAAACGACTCTCGGAATCAGTCTGCAGTTGCGAATCAAAGAATCCAGCCGGGAGGACAAAGCCGGCAAACGCGGCATGGCCGAAGCGCCGAGCGAAAACAGCTCGCGATAAGAAGGAAGCGAGGCGTTTGCCGGGTTTTTCAACTCCGCGGCCGCGCCAAACAACGAAATCCAAATACGAGGCGGTTTTCACGGTTTCCGATTTTCCCGAATGCTTCCTCCACCGGTAGAGTCGGCGACGCGCCGTCGTCCGCCCGCTGCTGCAGCGCGGCCAGCGCGGCGCAGGGCGGGCTGCCTCGCTTCGTGGGGGGTCTAGGGGGTCCTGGCGGAGTGGAAGGGGGAGTAGGGGAGGACGCTGTTTGCTGAGCCTGCAGGTTAATTAAAACTGCGTTTCCATCCTTGAAAAAACAAAGTCGCCCAGGTGTGTTCCTGGGCACGCTCACTGACAGGGGCGGCGAAACACGCGGAAAGTCGCGCGGCGTCGTCAAATTGGTTTCCGTCGTCGGAGGCGAGGCCGGGCTTTGACGGCGAGGTCGTGGACTGACTGGACCATCGCGACGACGGCCTTCGCGGCCTTCGCGCGAACCGACGCGGACCTTCGGGTTCAGGAGTCCCCGGAGCCGGGCCTCTTATTTGCATTCACTTGGTCAGCTATGCTGACCGGCCTCCTCACAGTGGGCCAGCAGACCGGCGGAGCGGCCAAAAGTCTAGACGCGTTTTGAGCTCCAAAGTCGCTAAACAGGCCTCGAACCGAACGTGTGACCCCACCAATGGACTGCTCTCTGAACGGGGAATCCATTGGTGGGGCACACGTTCGGTTCGAGTCCAGTTTAGCGACTCTGTAGCTCAAAACGCGTCTAGAGTTTTGGCCGCCGCCACCGGTCTTCTGGCCCACTGTACCCCGCAGAGGCGCGAGAGAGACGGAGCGACGAAATGACCGGGGAATCGGCCGGCGAGACGGCCTCGTCGAGGACCGCCAGCGCAAAGCCAGCCGGACGCAGCATTTAGCCTGGAAGCCTTTTAAACGCGGCTAAAGGCCGCAAAAGGCAGCTACAGGCTAAATCGACGGCCGGCAAAAGGCCTTTTGCCTTTTTACTTGAAACCGTCGTCGAATTAGTCGGCGCGTCTTTATCCTTTTTCCCCTTTCCCTGCGAGATGCGCCGGCGGTTTGATTACGTCGTGGCAATGCCCATTTGAAGCGGC